CGCCAGGGACCCGGGTTCGATTCCAGCTCGGACGACTGTCTGTGCGGAGTTTGCACGTTCTCCCCGTGTCTGCGTGGGTTTCCTCTGGGTCCTCCGGTTTCCTCCCACAGTCCAAAGATGTGCAGGCTAGGTGGATTGGCCATGCTAAAATTCTATGATTCTAGTACTAAGTTGAATTCACCACTAGTTGGCTCTCTGCAAGCAGCCCTATGGTCCTGGATCATAGTGACTTCACTTCTACCTTTTACTTTCTACCTCAGATTTACCACATCTAGTTATTTCCCACCACTCCAATGACCCCTGTACTTTGTACTGTGGAAACTGCCCCCAAGCTTTTTCCCCAGAATATTTGTCACCCTCTCCTACTTGAATCTGTTTCCATTATTGAGTTGAAGACACCCACTATAAAAACGGTTTGTGGACTGGCTCTTCAGAATTCAAAGTACCCCTAAAAATATTCACTAGGAGCAGGAGTAAGTCTCTCAAGCTTGTTCTGCCATTCAATAAGATTATGGTCAAACTGCATCAATAATGATATCACCACGCCCCTTGATTCCATTAATGCCCAAGAATTTGTCACGTGCAACCTTCAGTGTCCTCCACAACTGAGCATTCGTAGCTCTCTCAGTTATTCAGTCACTTCTCATCGGACAGTTATTCCATTCTAGAAATCGGATTGCAAAGAAGATCTTCTGTTAAGGAAGAGACCGAAACTACACAGTGCTACACGTGGGCTCACTAAAGCTGTATATAATTGCAGCAAGATTTAGCTCCTATTAGTCTCTAATTGAAAAGGTTGCAGAATAACACATCATTTGCCTGTGTAATTGCTGTACCTGCATGTTAACTTTTGCATATAAGAATATTCCAAACCCTCGACACCAGACTAGATTATACAAATCCCTTAACTTTGTTTTAAAAAAAGCTTTTCTGCTTTCAACCAAAATGGATAGTTTCAGGGGGTTATTTTTCTATCTTATACTCCCTCACTTAACCTTGTTTTGATTTTTTTTTTAAAAGAGCTAAGATTGTCTGAATGGCTTGCTAGAGTTTGCATGTTTGGACAGAGGCTACATTACTAAAACCATTTTTCTATTTGAGCTATGTCTGATATTCTTACTATTATTAACATTTCAGGTCATTATTAATATTTTTTATCTTCAGACATGTATTGTTGAATTTGCGGCACTTGCAAAGTTCTAAAATCAACAAAACTCACATTTAATATTTCATTTGTGAAGTGTACTCCTTTCTCACTATTCCTGTTGCAACAAAGTTCTTGTAATACTGTTAAATGATATCTTTGGATTGTTTCAAATCTTGATGTGCAAACTGTTGTAGACTTTGGATAATTCAGTAGATCTGCCAATTTGGCTGAATTATGAACTGATTTCAGTGCTTAACTTGCAATTGGCAATTGTTTCTCTGAACTTGTGCGTGAATGTTTGGTGGCAGTTTTGTTTACAAAATGTTTTGTATTCAGAATTTTGTTCCTAAAATTGTTGGTATATATAACACGCCTGTTGACAACAAGTAGGTTTTCTACTTTAATCATTACATGCCTTTTAAATAGAATTCATGTCAGACGTCTTGCTGAGGCGATTAGTCTCTGTGCTAGAAGAATGCCACATCCTTGATCTTGATAGAGGAAGCAGGTGCAGCCTGTAGTTAAAACAGACTACATGAGCAAAAACAATGGTTAATTTTTCTTGATCTGTTTTACTCAGTTGAGCACAAGACCCGGAGCAGTGTTGTTTATACATTAAAGTTCCCTTATTTTTGTACTATAAGTAGACTACTTTAAATCTGGTTACCTAAAAATTGGCAGTTTCCAAAAAACAGGTGTTCTTATAGTTTTTAATTTTATAATTGAGTAGAACTAAACTGGACAATTGGATTAGGCACCACATTGGCATAATGATCTGATAGCCACTTAGTCACTTAGTACATCAACTTATCCTGCATTCCAAGTGACACTTGACTCCATCCAACATTGTACAGCTCAAATATCCAACTTCCTGAGCCAAAATTTGAAAGTATCCTGATTCTGAAGGTGCCAGATTTGACGTTCTGTACCTGTATTCCATGCTTTATGTTAATATGTAAATTTGAATTCATTCCAAACCTTGTCTGTGGCTGGAATTCCTAATGATTGAAACAATGTTTTATTTAGTAATATTGATGATCATATCATTGGTAGTACTTACGAATTTTCATCACTGCAATCAATTTCCATGCAGAAAAGTCCCACAAAGAACAATGTGCAAGTGACCAGAAAATGATTATTTTTTTAAAAAAATTCAGGAATAAGCATCAGACAACACAATGGGGACAGCTTCCTACTGCTCCTCTGAATTAGTGCTGCTGTGGTTGCGAGTTGTTTATGGTTACTGGGAAACAATGGTAATGCTGGACACCGTATAATCAAGAATTTAGAAATGCATGTAGCATGGGCAATACAGCGATAACAGACTACTCCAGTTGTCAAAGGTGAATTCTTGCAGCATGTGCAAGATGTGTTTCAGGAATAGTAAGAATAATAGAGGATCAGATTATTTTGAATTTTGTCTTATTATGATGAGAAAGAGCTTATTAATAACGTTGCTACAAAGGAGACATTGGGAAATAGTGACCAAAGTAGGATTACATGATGTTTGATATACTTTATACTGAAAGTTGGATTTTTAAATCAGAGCAAAGGGAACTGTGAATGTATGAG